GAACTGCCAACTGGTGTTCAGAAAAGAACCGAGGGGCGCCTGGGTGGCTCAGTCGGTTAAGTATCCGACTCTTGATTTCAGCTCAGGTCTTGATCTCAGGGTTGTGAGTTCAAGCCCTGCTTGAAAAAGAATCGAGGTGCTGATATACCCACAACCAGGGACTCCTATTCCCCCTTCCCTATCTCTGATCCATGGTTTCTGGAAGCGAGGTTCCTGGCATGCATCCTCAGCATCACTGGTGAAGGTCAATTCTTGGTCCCCATCCCAGACGCACTGAATCTCCAGGAGATTTTGGCGCATGCTCAAGCTTGAGAATCACTGGGCTCTATTCCCTCCAAGGAGGGAGGCTAACAGGGAGCTTCAGAGCTCCCCCCGCAGGAAGGAGGCCATAAAGTCTTCCTAGTAAGTTCCCATTTCAACTCTATCCCCCAGCTAGTAAATGTGTCCCCAGAAATGATCTTACCAGCAGTCTTATATAATAAATGGGTCACAGATCCACTTGGGTTTCACTGTATTTTGGCTTTCCTTTTGCCACCTGTGGCCAGACCCGGTTATTTATTACCTCTTCCTGGTACTGGCTCCCTGTTTTCACTCCATCCTGCTTCCTTCCAAGAAAGAGGGGTGTCAGAGAGGTCTCATAAATATCTGCTGAGAATTCCTGACACAAAGGGCTTCTTGGGCCCTGGGGAAGGTTCTGGTTTTACCAGCCCCGCCCATCCGGTGTTCGAGGACTCTGGCATTTTTCAGGGCCCAGAATCTTGGTTTTCACCATGACATTTACAGAGTGGCCAAGCCTGCCCATTGAGAAGCATCCAGGGCTTGGCGGGCAGTAATGAGGCTGGCTGGTCTCCAGCAGTTGGCAAACACTGTGGCACATTAAATGTCACTGCAGGCTTTGTTTGGTTTTAAATTGAAAAATTGCTAGAGTTATGAGAGCTTACAAGCTTTGCCTGGAGAGGAAAAAAAAAAAAAAAAAACCCTCACCTTTTCTTTTTCTCTCCTTTCCCCCAACCGAATATTTTCCTAGCGAATGGCGAGACTCCCCCTGCACCTCTGTGTCAACTCTTCCCCCTAACCCCATTCACACTGTGATGGGTACCCAATGGCTACGGAGCCCATGACCAAGAGCGTGTTTCCAGAGCTCCACTTGCTGGTGAGAAAGAATGTGCCACCATTACTAATTCAAAGCAGATCTGACCTAGCTACAGACCCCTACGCACATTTTCCCAGGATCCTCTACCCTCCCTTTTTCTTCTCTTCTTAAAAGGAACATTCAGGCTTATTTGTATACAAACATCCATCACCAGCAGAATCTTAGTCCAAGTCTTAAAACCAGTAGGGCACTCAAGGGCATGGGGTCTAGACTCTGCTTTTAAGCTGACAAGTTATTATTCCCAGTGTTCACATGACAGAGCTGAAGTCCAGAGAGTAACTTGCTCAAAGTCCTACAAAGAGTAAGTGCAGAGCTCAGATCCAGGGCTCCTGACTGTTTGCTTTCCTTTCTCTGGGCACACGGGGCCCCCCGCACCTGAGATCCGACCCCAGAACCAGAGGACAGCTCTTCATCTGTTCCTTCCTTTCCACGGCCAGCCTGGGATTGAGTTTTCTCATATACAGTTTCATCAATATAGTTAATCCAAATGTATCACCCTCTTTGGGTTCAGCCAACTCCCTTCTGCTGGCACGTTCCCACCCTGGAGTTAGGACACCATGATCCCTGCGCAAATATGAACATGTGAGCGCTGGTGTGGGGTGATGGGGAGGACCCAGCCCTCCTATTCCATTCGCTAACATTTAGGTCAGAAGTGGGCAGGGTCTTGGATATTTCATGAAATGACTCTCATCCAACAGGCTTGGAAGCAAATGACTGCCAAGAAGCCCAGGGCCCACAATGGTTGACCCACTGGAGCTGGAGGGCTTGAATTCTCAGAGTAGCGGAGACCTTGATTGTATCCCATTTGTCCCCATTTAGGCTTTTTCTGTTGTTTTGTTTTAATCTTGGAGGAGGAAAAAAACAGGTCAAACAGAAAATTCCCTGGTTAGTCTGTAGAACCAGGGGTGACCCTAATAGGTCTGTCTTCCCTAAAACCTTTCTGACTGAGCACCTCTCTGCTTCTGCCCACTGCTAGATCTGCTTGGTTGTAAGTAGGAAGCTGTGTCGGGTGGGGTAAAGCGTCCTGACCTGACCACCCAAGCTCTCTTGTGCCCACAGGCAAGACACTCAAATTTTCTGATTCCCAGTTTCCTCATCTGTGAAACACTCCTTAGGGCCCTTTAGGGATTAATCATTACCAGATGTAAAGAACATGACGGTATCCACCAAGTACCAGCTCCCTTTTTCATTTCCAAATGATATTAGTGCATTTTTTTTTCACACAAAGAAAGGCATTTGCATGATCATGAGGGGAGGCTGTCTCTATAAAGATCATTTATAAAAAACTGGATCTCTAATGGTGGATTTCAGGCCTCAGAAACAAGCCCAAGAAGAGACGAGGTAATATAGACACACAGACAAGAGTAGCTCCACAATAACACCGTTTTGGCGGGGGGGGGGGGTTCAAGGAGCCAAGAGGCAGAGGACTCAGGAAGCAAAAGTCACAGGGGAAGCACATTTCATTTCAGTAGCTTCCTCTGTCTTTCTTCCTGTGTGGAAAGGCCCCTGGTCATCATACAGCAACCTGTGGTGAAATTCAGCACGCATGTATCGAGCTCCTACTGACCTTGAACTATTGCAAATGCCCTCATTTCCCTTTCGTCCTCTTCCCCACCAAAGCCCACCCCACTCCTTTGTCTCCTTCATCCCATTCCCTCCCAATCCTTCCCCCCATAAACCACCGCCGAATCTCAGCCGCCATGACTGCCTTGTCGGAACAGACGTTGTGAGAAAGTCTGCCCTGGGGGCCAGCACAGGCTCCCAGAACAACCGAGCTAGCATGGAGGACCCACCACCACCCCCTGAGAGAGACTAGCAGAGACAGAGAAGAGGCTATTTCGCTTACCCTTCACCTTCCCACTAAAGGTATTTTCGGAGCATTTCCCTGGTGATGAAAGAGCCAGTCGGGAAGATCCATGACATTCCCTGTAGCCCTTCTGAGGAGTAGAGATTATGTCCGGGGAGCCACTTCTGTGTTCTAACCTAAACCTTAACAGCAGGCAAGCTCTGTGGAGAGGTCAGTCTTCCTTCTAGCTCACCAGATGTCCTTCCCTTTAGTCATGTGCATGTTTCTCCCTTTGGAAGGGCGAAGGTAAGGGGAAGGAACTGTTGTTTTAGATGCAGGAAACTCAAGGGCATTAAAGATGGCTTCTGGCTCTTAAAATCTATGACGATAGATGTCAGAAATATTGCCACTGCCATGTGGAGCAGTTTTAAAAAATGTGTGGGCACTCTGGCCTTGGACCTCTGTGCCCCTGACATTGAACCCAACAGCATCTCCTAGCCCCTATTGCTTAGCTCCAAGACTGGACAGGAGGCATCAGTGTATACCCCACAGAATATCAGAGACCGAGTGGGCCCTTAGCAAGGATTGATTCCCATCTCCCTACTGGGGACCATCTGGCTAGACTTGCCCTGTGAATGGGCAAGTGTCCTACATTATGAAAATGCCCTTCACTGGTAAATATACTGGGAAAGGTAGCTGGGCTATGTGGACACAGTCAAGTTCAAACTTCTCTGCATGGCCGTGCAGGCTATCCATTTTGTCCCACTTTTAACCAGTCCCTGCCTCCCACTCTGTGCTCCAGTATTACTAAATCCCACACTGTTTGCTGCCTCAGTGCCTTTGCACAGGCGGGCCTTGTCCTGCCCGGAATGCCCTGTTTCCCCTTCCACCTACGTCTACCTACTGGTTATGATTCAGCTCAGCGATCACTGCCTTTAGAAGCTTGAATATGGCCATGATGAAGAACGCAGTGGCCTCCCAAACCAAGCCAAACTGGAGTCAAATCTCTCTTCACTCTCAAGTCACCTCAGTTTCCTCATCTATACACCAAAAGTAATAATACCAAACCTTCAGGGTTGTTAGAAAGGGGAAGATGTAAAATGCTTGGTGCAATGGCTGGCACATGGTGCCCATGCAAATTCAGTTGCCATGTTCATTATTGCCAGATTCCTCCATTCTGCCCTTCTATCCTAGACTGGGACAGGCGCCTCTTTCTATCACTATCTTTTATGTGCATGCTACATTTTTTTTAAGATTTATTTCTTTATTTTAGAGCGAGGGTGAGAGCGAGAGAGAGAGAAAGAGAGAGAGCCCAGGCATGAGTGAGTAGCTGGAGAGGCAGAGAGAGAGGGAGACAGAATCTCAAGCAAACTCCCCGCTGAGTACAGAGCCTGACATGGGCCTCGATCCCAGGACCCTGAGATCATGATATGAGCCAAGTGTCAGCCACTCATCTGACTGTGCCACCCAGGTGCCCCTATGCGAGATATTTTTTAATCTAGTATAATAAACATACGATAAAATGTACCCATGATAAGTGCATGGTTTGATGAGTTTTGACAATGTAGATACCTGTGCATACCTGTGCCTATGAAACATTTCTACCACCCCTAACGATTTCCTTGTGCCCCTTCCCAATGAGTCTTTTCACCCATCCAGGCCCAAGCAACCACTGATCTCTTTCTATTGCTAAGATTATATTGCCTTTTCCTGCAGCTTCATATAAACGGGATCATACCACGCACATTCCTTTGTGCTTCGTTCATTCAGCATAATGTCCTGAGATTCCCCCACACGCATCAGGAGTGGGTTCCTTATTGCTATGCTTTTAACTTTGTTTTGTAATTTATCTGATGCCTCCACTAGACTGGGAGGTCCTCAGGATGCCTTTTTTGCCTTCGGTTCCCAATGAGGCGCTCAGTAAATGTTCGAGAGAAGGAGGGAGGGAGGGAAGAAGTTGTCATGGGGATTTGCGAAGACCTTGGCTGCAACCTTGCATCTTGTCCAGCCCAGGGAGGCAGGACTCACATCCCCAGCAGAGCCCCCTGGGCAAGCACTTACAGCAGCCAGTCCACGGCCACCAGCAGGCTGATGTCCTCCGTCGGCAGGCCCACAGCCGTCAGGATGAGGAGCATGGTGACGAGGCCCGCACTGGGGATACTGGCTGCACCCACGCTCGCCAGCGTGGCCGTGAGGCTGAGCGAACAGAGAAGACCAGGTCAGGGGAAGAGAAAGAGGACTTGGCAAAACCATCCCTGGCAGGCAACTGTAAGCTCCAATTTTCCCAGCAGTCATAAAATTTCTTTTGTTTCTCAAAGAACAGAGAAATCCAGAGTGAAGAGACCCGGGAATTAGGGTCTCTTTGGATTCTAAACTGCGGTGGAAGTTTATGAATTCATGGATTAGAGCCTTAGCCTCAGCAGGAGAGCCAATTAGCCTAATATATCACAGGGCTCAACGAAGGTAAGTGTGGCTCTCAAGCAGGCAAGGAAATAATAAAGAAGGAAAACAAATCACCCTAATCCTCCCATGGGAATACCACTGCATTCATTTCTGCTTACGCTTTTATGTCTCTGTGAGCCCCAGAGACATCTGGACTCCGTGGCAAGAGTCTGAGGAAGCCACTGCCAATGTTAACATGAGAACTCAGAATAGCAAATATCCAGACCCGATTGAGTGGACATCAGGGGAACAAATCAACAGATTCCAAATGACATTAAGCTTCAGACGCCTGGACATTTCACCATGGACTGGAAAATACATTATTCAGAAAGAAGGCGCCAAGGAAAGATAATGAAATAACAGGAGGTTTTCTTTCTGAAGCCTCTCATCATTTGCAATGCCAAGGGCACACCCAACACCATTTTGAAGTTGTCTCTGGAAGAGGGTTTAATCTAGGGTTCAAGTGCCCTGTGTAGACACCAGGGGGTCTCTGCGGTCCAGCAAAGGGCTCCCAAACTGGTTTAACTGAGCCCAGACCGTTGTTGTGACTAAGCACAGAATCCTGGGTCTTACCATCTGGAGAGACCTGAATTTACCCAATCTTATGTATGAAGACAGGAAGTCCCTACGAGGTTCTATAGTTTGCACTGGTCTTTCCATGCCGCCATCCTTCCACATATCAGCCTGTCACCGTCTGGACACCTCGCCTAGGCGGGATCGACAGAACCCATCTGCACTATTCCCCTGCCCCCATCAAAGTAAAGCTGGTGTCAAGGCTTAAAGAACTCCATTTTTCTTGGATCCTTCTGGGTCATAGGAGGTGATAGTATATAGTGGGTATCAGTGAAGATTATGGAATGGAACAACCTGGATTAGAATCCCAGCTCTGTCGCTTATTAACCACATGACTTTGAGAAACTTACTTAACCTCTTTGTGCCATGATTTCCTTATCTTTAAGAAAGGGTCATCAGGAGCTAATAAATAAAAAGCACACAGAAGAGACCTGGCACCTTGCAACCCCCCAGTAAATGTGAATTGTTATTCTTATCAGGAAATCTGGGCAGGATTAGGCGGCTTTGTAAGAAAAACTTCCCTAAAGCCCCAAGAGTTGGAAGGTGGGAATTCTCAGCCATTTCCCTGACATGGATAGAGCACCAGGAAAGGGGGACTTCCCAAGTTCCAACGGTCATGGCCTCAGCCGTTTTATTTACCACATCAGTTGCTTCTGTTATGAGTCATTCTTACACATCCCTTTGCACTGTGGCCACATGGTCTGGTCCCCCCTGGGCCGTGTGAGACAAAAGCCTATAAAGAGAGTTCTTCTTAGCAGTTGGTCCTCCCACTCCTCCTTCATCCCAATTTATAGCCTCACCCTACGACGGGCGGAGTGTCCGGGTGAGTCTAAATCCTGTAACAGCGTCTTGGGGCAATGACCGCCTCTCCATCTCTCTGTCCCTTTCCACTTTTCCCACCCTTCCGCTCCCTGGCTCACTTCTCTAGCCTGGTTCTTGGATGCTGTACAGAGTATTACACACACATTGTCACAGCAGAGCCTCACAGTAACCCTGCGAGGTACACATGGTTGTATCTGCTTTCCATGGGGGAAATCACGAATTGGACAGATGGAGAAACTTAGGGTCAAACAGCTGGACCGTCGTCTGCTGGGATCAGAATACTCATCTGTGTGATTGCGATGCTCTGCGGGCCTGATGCTCCCCACCCCTGATCCCTCCAACACTGAATTAATCAATCCCGATCATGGGTCCCCGGTCCATCCTCGTCTCTTAAGTTTTCATCTAATGGTGTGAACTCAATGGGAAGTGTGGTTGCCATCGAGGCCAAGAATTCAGGGACCAGAAATCATCTTGCTTGGCTTCAAAAGAAGGGGTTTCGTCTTTCGTTCATCTCTGAGTTTTAAAGCAAAAGAGGTTGGTAGTCTCACATGCATTCCCTGACGATGTGACTTAGAAGGTGGGATACCCAGGGTCTGAAGCATGTTTTCCCCTGGGTGACATCATGGCACTCACTACATCTCTGTCACATTTTTCTCTCATATTCTAGAAGTACTGAATTTTATTGAGCATCACTAATAGCAATACTACTAGTAGCTAACATTTGTTGACAGGTGATTATGTCCCAGGTACAATACTCCCAACCCCCTAGAATGTCCCCAATATACCAGTGAGGAAACTGAGGCTCCCCTATAGTACAGCTATGGACTGAGTTGTGTCCCCCCTATCAAATTCATTTGTTGAAGCCCTAATGTGATGGTGTTTGGAGGCAGGGCCTTTCAGGGGGTCGGTGGAGGGGGGGGGGGGCAGGTAAGTACACCATGAGTGTGGTGCCCTCATGACGGGATTAGTCCTCTTATCAGAGGAGACCTTCAAGAGCTTGTTCACTCTCTCTGCACACACCAAAGAAAAGGCCAGGCGAGCAAACAGCAAGAAGGGGAACACCAGCCAGGAAGAGGATAGTCACCAGGAACTGAATTTGCCAGCACGTTCATCTCGGACTTCCCAGCGTCCAGAACTGTGAGAAATCAATACCCCTTGTCTGTGGTATTCTGTTACAGCAGCCTGAGCTAAGACAAGTACATACCTCACAGGGTGGTTGTAAGGATTTGATAAATTAGTATAAGCAAGTAAGTATGATCTTTAAGTTTATGGAGAAACAATGTATTTTTAATGATCTCTTGGGAAAGCGTTTTTCCTAAATTTCTTAAAGGATGAATACCTATGGTAAAAATAGGTTTAGTAAAACGTATGGATCTATATTTGTGATTTCGTTGTAATAAAATGGTTTGTGTTGTATTGAGAAATCTCTTCCTTCCAGTATTTCATCATTTCTGCCATGACCCTCTGAAATGCTGAAGGGAACATATTTTAATGAAAGGAAAAGTGGATCCAGAGTCAGCCGCTGTCGGCCCCAGCTACAACCCTCCTGGCTCATTAACACGGCAGCCTTGCACAAACTACCCTGCCCCTGGAAGCCTGTGCCTCCTCATCTATTAAATGGGCATAGAAATAACTGCCTTGCAACATCACGGGATTGTTAAAAATCAAATAATACCAAATTTCCAAAGCAATTTCACATGTGCAATACAAACAGCAGGCCTAAGTATGAGCCTGCTTCTTTCCTGTCACAATATTTTCCCCTTGAGACTGCCAATAACTCCTCTTCTGTGTTATTTTCTTCATCATTCTTCCACCAGGGGACCTGAAATTCAAGTGGCCCCATCAAATGGAGTTAGTGCGGAAGGGGGTGGGGCAAAAGGCCATTTCAGTGCCTCCCCAATCCACACTCCACTCACCTCACAGTCACAATCTGGCCTCCATCCAGGATAACACCGTTCATCTGGGCAATAAAGATGGCGGCCACCGCTTCATAAAGGGCTGTACCGTCCATGTTGATGGTTGCTCCAACCGGGAGGACAAATCTGGTCACGCGCTTATCAATTCCCAGATTTTCTTCCAGGCAACGGAAGGTAACAGGCAAAGTTCCGGCACTAAGGAACCAAGAGAGAAAGAGAGACAAGAGTTTATGTCCACTTTAGAGAAGCAGGACAAAACACAAACTGGAATGCCACCACAAAGTGTTTGTTCTTTTGTTCCAATCAAGCAATGTGACATGCAAAAAGCAGTGTCTGGAGCCAAATTAAAGACCAGCTGTTTGGAGTTTCAAGTTCAATCTTATTAAGATGCTCATAGGCAGCAAACTCTTTTTGTTGGCTCTGGTTTTTGAGATCTACTTAGAGCTTTAAATCCTTTTTCCTTTGATCAGTATTTCCCTCTTGCATTAAATATTAAAGACCATTTGATTGCCCACATTAATTGAGCTGCAAAAAAAAAAAAGTGTCAGAAAACAATGAGCTGTCAACAGTGAAATGGAATGGGGAATTTTTGAATGACCCATAATTTCATGCTAGAAACACTTTCCAACAAGATGACTACAGGGGCTGCATCCAGTCTCTGGGAATTGCCCTGAGCTAATTTTGAGAATGCTGGACAAACATGTTAAACACCATTTAGCCTGAACCTGAGCTTCTAGCAATTCACTAGGGACCCTCACAGACAGTCCAACTCCCTGATACATGGTCACTGGCCAACTGTACAGTCTTTGCAACAACATAGAGCAAAAAGCACGTGCTCTGTAGCTAATCAAAGACCCAATATGGATAGAGTGACTGCACCCCAACTCATCCCAAATCTGGGACAGGAATTCATGACCACATGACCCAGCCTCGAAGGCCAGAACCCCTGACATGTTCGTGTGTCTTCTAAATTAGGAGACCTGTAAGGATAAGTGTTGCTGACAGCCAAAATATTATTTCCATGTGGAGAGAGGCTCATGAGAGAGTAAGTGGATTGGCTTCAAAATTTAAGTAATATGGAAAGAAATGTAGAACACCGAAACTGCCATGTGAGTGCTTTGTGGTCCATTCTCTTTGGGGTTTGAATGTTTTGTTTTGTGTTTTGCTTTTGGGGGCTTTTTTCTGTTCAAACCTTAGCAAAGTGAATTGGGTGCAGACATACTTTTTTCTATCATGTGTTGACACAGCCTTAGTCATGGTTCCCTCCTTCTACTAGTCAGAATTAGGGCTCCCGCCAAGCTTAACATAGACACTTGCCAGAGGTCTCAGTTTCTCAGAGAGTGGGAGAGAGCCATCAGCTTCAGAGAAGCTACTGAGGATGCAGATTCCAGGGCCTACTCAGAAACAGAAACCAGAAGCTCTAAACTTAGGGTCACCTAAGTTCTGCATCTTCTTAAATCACTGACCCATAGGTTCCTAATAATAACCTTAGGGACGCCAGAGTCATCTTACGGGAACATTCTTTGTGATTTCAGGTCAGGGGTCTCATGCCTCTTCCTTGGTCTTAGGTAGAGGAAATGAATGTTTGGAGACCTCTTGTACCTTGTACCTGGTTGGCTGTACCAGATGTTTTAATGAGACTCCCCCACGCTACCCTTTCTTTGGACCCCTTTGAAGGGTTGGCAGGACACCGTAACTTGTCTGAAATGGCAGCTGTGGTTGGTGGCTGGGATTCTAAATGGTATGAATCTGAGCACACTTCTGGGAGGACTGGAATATGTTGATTTTTATTATTGCATCCATTTTCCCACAATGTCATCAAGAGGTCTTCAGACAATTAAATAGACTGGAGAAAATAATTGGTAAATCATGAAAATATTCTCAAAATCATAGATACCCAACCAATCCAAACTGGGACTTGAGAATTTTAACTCTTTCCTGCCCATCCAACATTCTGACATTGTTTCTTTGGCTCCTGCCTCAGCGACCTAATGACAGTTTTCAAATATTGCATAATAACTAGCAGATACTTGACAGTCTTCTTTTTGTCTTTTTCCAGAGTAGTTTCAACAGCATAGACTGATGTCAGCAGGATGCAGAGAGGTGTGTCCCAGGCTAGCCCCTTCCATCAATCCTCCCTGACACCAGCCTGTTGAGAAAAGGGAGTCAGTCCCTTCCACTCCCCCTTCAGTCGTCAGGGTCCAAGGAGGTAGAAAGAATAGTTAGCTGGCTGTACTGGGGCTTTGTGTTTTTTCCCTCTGGTCATAATGGCAGAGTTAGTTCTTAGTATGTGACTCATGCCACAAATTTTTCCTTAAGTGTGTTTTCTTTTAAAAAATGAAATTCCACATCCTGGCAAAAGCCACAGTTTAACCGACGACTAAAGTCACTTGAAATACAGGGTGAGGAGGAAAAATGGGTCTAGCATTTGGGTTATCTGGGCCAGACAACCCAAGCATTTGTCTGATTTAAATACGAACTTGGGCCATCCATATGCCTTTGGGAATAACCTTGTCTAATTAAAGGTACTAGGATAATTGTCTAGACATTCAAAGGAAAGATAATAATATTTTTGGAAGATTTAAAGATCAAAACCACAAAGGTATTGGAAGAAAATATAAAGTAATATTTTATCATTTTTAGTGGTGATGTTCCTGAGAAAAAAATCAAAATTCCAAATACTAAATGAAAATGCTGACAACCTTGATGATACGCAATTAAAAACATCTAGGGACAAAAAGCGATGCAAATTTTCAAGATAAGTGTCAAGTGGAAAGGAACATCATTCACAACATGGGACACATGAGTTAATATTTTTATACATGAAGAGAGTTAAAGACAATCAGGAATGGGCAAATTACCCAATGGGAAATGACCATGACAAACAATTCACAGGGTTGGGGAGAGGAGGGGAGGATGGTCAATAAGAAGGCAAAGAGAGGGCGCCTGGGTGGCTCAGATGGTTAAGCGTCTGCCTTTGGCTCAGGTCATGATCACAGAGTCCTGGGATCAGGGCCCCCATCGGACTCCCTGCTCAGTGCAGAGCCTGCTTCTCCCTCTCCCTCTGCCATTCCCTCTGCTTGTGCTCTTCTGTCTATCTCTGTCAAATAAATAAATAAAATCTTAAAAAAAAAAAAAAAAGGCGGCAAAGAGATGTTTCCCCTCACTAGTAATTAAAGAAATGCAAAATCAAGGAGATCGTTTTTCAACAATAAGATTGGAAAGTATTAAAGTGACTGATAATATCCAGTGCTGGTGAGTAGGTGGGAAAAGGCAGCCTCGCACACCCAGTTAGTGGGGACATAAACTAAAGGACTTTTCTGAGCAGCAAGCTGGTGGTATGTTTTCACACAGTTAGTGTGCTTACCATTGGACTCAGAAATTCCACTTCTATAAATTTATCCTGAGGGGATCATCAGACAAGCTTGTAGAGATGTATTTATAAGGATGCTTGTCACAGCCCTCTTTAGTAAACACGCTTTATACGTACATCACAGGGTGGAGGTGGGGTTGTATTGTAGCACCCACAGTGTATTATTATGCCATTTAAAAATAGTAGGAAGATATATATTGACAGAACTTTTATAATACGTTGACCAATGAAAAATAGCAGTTTACAACATCTATACATAGTACAAATTGGAAAAATATAGAACTATTAAGATTAACTAAAAGGGTTACTATTAATTATCCCTGGGCAACAGAAGAACTGGTGATGTTCATTTTCTTCTTCGAAACTTTATTCACTGTCTGAACTTTTTCACAATGGGCAAACATCACGCTCATAACCAGAAAACAAATATAAAACTAAACATGATTGTTTTGGGGGGAAGAAAAAGATTTACTTTTTCTCCAAAGAGAGGGGGATCTTTATGGATAGAGATACTTAACCATATGAAATCTGTAAGACCAAGAACGAAAAAGGAAATTTTGGGGTGTTTCCTTTCATCTTGGGAAACTGAACGCAGGGTCTAGATCCCCGGGATTATATATATTTTAGCATCTTCTGAAATCCCACATTCTACTAGTGCCAAATCTCATTGATGTGCAAGATGGAAATACAAATTTGGTTTCTCAGGTGGTCACCCCTATTGGCCTGTTGGGTCACTTAAGGAAAAGCTGACTGCCTGCTCAGTCGCCTTGGGACCGCTGTCTCGCTGTGTCACAGGGTGGGCACCTCACTCACAAAGCATGGTCACAGGCTCAACAACAAGGACCCGCTACCTGTGATTCCAGAGACGATGCTGAGCTAGGGGCTGCAGAGTTTGCTCGCCTTCCCGCCACCTGCTTCATGACCTTGGTCTTAGTTTCGTGACCCTTAGTTTTGTGCAGAAATACCAATGACTAGGGCAGGCTGAAACAATAAAACTCTTTTAATCTTTGAAATTCTGAATTGCCACGTGTTTCTTACGTACTTGTTTTTGTTTGTTTGTTTTTGCTAAATTCAGTCCAAGAAGATATCCAAAAAAAATTTTTTTTCCCCCTCTGCGATTCTCTTCAGTCCTCATTGGCTTCAGATGCCTGGCAACTTAGTTAATGAAGAAGGAACGGACTCTCAGTCAATGTCAAGTTGAATCAATGCCAACCTGATTTTCTCAAAATCAATGGGGCAGAATGGTTCACTAGAGGTTCATGCAGAAGTCACAGACCTGACTGACTTCTGGTTTGTTTGTTTGTTTTTTTAAATCTTACCTAACATATTTACCATGAAAAATCTCACTTTTTCTACTTCTGAAAAACAACTCCAACAGAGCGGTATTTTGTGATAGCATTTTTCAAATCACAGGTGGGAGAATTTCTTAAATAGCTTACTATCCTGTCATATCTTTTCGGGAAACATTTAAAATGAAACGAATGCTAGATATGGCGAATTAGGCATGCAGATTAACAGCATGCATTCATCTGGGAAATTTTTCTTTTTAAGATTATATTTATTTATTTGACAGAGAGATAGAGAGAGAGCACAAGTAGGCAGAGTGGCAGGCAGAGGGAGAGGGAGAAGCAGGCTGTCTGCCGAGCAGGGAGCCAGATGTGGGGCTCGATCCCAGGACCCCGGGATCACGACCCGAGCCAAAGGCGGCCACTTAACCGACCGAGTCACCCAGGCGCCCCTCGTCTGGGAAATTTAATATGAGGTATTTCCAGGACAGTTACCTATCAGCAAACACGTTCATCAGAAAGCTCTTAAGTTCCTAGGAGCCAAAAATCCAAACCATTTACCTTTTTCAGAAATACTTTAATAATACATGAAACACATTCTCATTGAACTTTATGATGAAAGGGTTTTGCAAAGAGGAAATGGCAGAGAGGGGAAAGGAATGAGCAGAGAGAAAGAAAGGTGATTTCTTGTATTCTCTACCTGGAAGCAGTACCCAGGGCAGTGATCCAAGCTTGGAAAATGCCAGCAAAAAAGGAGAAAGGGTTTTTCCTGGTGACTACAAAGTAAATCAAGGGGAGAAAGATGCCCCCATGGATGATGAGGCCCACAATCACCGTGATCATGTACATCCCCAGCTGCCTAGCAACCACCTCTAAGTCCTTGATTGCAATGATCTTTCCACAAATGAGGCAGGCGATACCCAGGGGAGAGTACCTGAAAAACATAAAAGAAAAACAAAAACAAAAAAACATTGAAGAGATCCTTATAGAATTCACAACTTATATCTGGGCCTTACATGTACCACAACCTGAGGAAAACCCTTCGCATTTCTGTACCAAGAGTTTTGCTGGAGGAAGTCCTCGAGATTCGACGGCTGTTCCTCACTTCAGACTCACCTTCAGCACAATCTGAAATCTGTTCAGTGGATCTGGGGGCCTCTGCTCTGATGGAAAATCCAAAGGCAAGCCCTGTTGCTCAGGTGATTTTCAGGAAGAGCAGACACTAGCTTTACCATCTCCCAGGTAAGCACCAAGCTTGAGAGGCACAGATGCTTCGAGAATCTTGTTTGGTTTCCCTGTTCCCCCCCAACTCCATCCTTGAAAACTGGGAATCCATTTTGAGCTTCCCAGCAAGCTCATTAGCGTTTCATGCAGCTATAAGCTGGTGTTGGTGAATTTGCTTTGTTTTTGCCTTAGACAATAGGAAGTTTATTAAAATATGAGAGAGACAGAGACAGAGAGAGACAGAGAGAGACCTACCAAAACAAGAAAACCCTCTGAGCCAGAGAGTCCATTTAGAGAGAGGCGGTTTTACTACTTCTACGTCTGAAAGAATTTCTTTCCGTACTTACTCTACCAGGAATGCTGGCTACCCTGCCCTGTGTCTCAGGCAATACAGTAAGACCTCTGCATACATCACCTCATTTCATTTTTACCACAACCCTGAAATCAAGGTATCATTATTCTTATTTGGCAAATGAGGAAATTGAGGTTCAGAAAAGTTAAGACCAGTCCAAGACCACAAAGCAAGGAAGTAGGAGAACAGTCTCAGCGCCTGTGACTCTCCAAGGGTTGTTTTCCCCTTACCCAGCCAAACCACTTTCCTTTAATGAGCAATTGGAGCTCTTTGTACATAGGCCGACAGTTTCCCATATACCGATTTATTCTCCGTAAACTCCTATCATGCTTCTATCTTGTTATTGTTCGATCGGGACTTTGGAAACGGTTTACTGCTGTCCTCACTCGTGAGGGCACTAATTGTGCTCTCTCTCCTCTTGAGTGTGTTTTTCCCATGTTGGGCAACGTCCTTTTTTTATTGCCCAATCTGGTAGTGTTGGAGCATAAACTTGTTCAGCCTGCGACACCTTTCGACTGAAATGAAAATGTTTGTGGGGAGGTTGATACCTTAGTAAGAATTATGAACTTATTTGAGAAAAAGACGGGGAAATGAAGTCCCAAAATAAGGCCCCCAGCTGGGGTAAGGGAGTCAGCAAAGGGAGACAGACACCCAAGCCAGATTTGCTGGTTGTTTTTTATCTGTTTGTTTTTGTTTTTTGCAATTGTGCCTGAAGCAAGCAAGCCCTTTCCTGGGTAAAGAAAAGATGTGGGTAGAGGTTCCTGGGTGGCTCAGTCGGTTAAGCGTCTGCCTTTGGCTCAGGTCATGATCCCAGGGTCCTGGGATTGATCAAACCCCGCGTTGGGCTCCCTGCTCAGCCGGGAGCCTGCTTTTCCCTCTCCTTCTGCCTACAGCTCCCCCTGCTTGTGTTTGTTCTCTCTCTCTCTCTCTCTCCCTCTCTGTCAAATAAATAAATAAAATCTTAAAAAAAAAAAAAGAGGTGGGTAGAGGAGAGCTATATACACAATTACCTAAGACATGGAGCTTGTCCAGCCACTTACCAGCTACATGACCGTGTAGTGACTTAGTCCCATTTTATAGTTGTGCAAGTCGAGGCTTAGGCTAACTCCAACCTCATGGGATTGCTGCAAGGATTGCATTTTTGAGCATGCATATGTATGCACTGTCAAAGTCCCACGCCCGTCCCTGTCAGCACCATTCTGACTGCTGACGAAGGAATCCTGTGGTCACACATGTACACCATGTCCTCTCCCCCACCATGCTTAAAGAGCCAAGTCTGAGTTAATGTGGCTTTCTAAACCAGCTCATAGACTACCGTCACCCAATGGCAGATGTTTTTATGAGCAAAATACTTTGTCAAGAGGAACCTTCTGAAAGAGCTGATTTGTAAATGATAAGACTTAGTGAAAACCTTAGAATAACTCTCTTCCCTGATGAGTATCCAGCCTGTAGCCTCCATGTCTTTGAAGGTTGGCAATGTCTGAGGGCTGTTTCCACAGGCATTAGGGAGCTATGTCCTTAAACCCTTGGCTTTCTCACCATTTTACACTCTCCTGGTGTGCCCATGGTCACATCTCCTAGATCAGTGGGGTTGTCTCAGGGGCCAAGTCTTTGTGCCAGGAGGTTGTAAGCAATGAGTATAATACACCTTCCCATAAAGCCAACAAGCATTTATCTTCATAAACCAAGAGATCAATTCTTTTCCAAGTACCAACCACCCTTTAAAGATGTCCAGAAAAACACAACTATGAGCTGTTCTGGGCGCCATTCAATTTTCCTGCTCTTCTGGAAACGCAACTTGCAGAATGGAGAAAAAGTATTGTCAAGGCTCTTTGCCAAGCAAGACCAGCTAGCCAGTCCCCCTGGAGAACCCATTTGAGCCAGAGCCAAATGAATCAGAGAGAGGAAACATGTTACCTCCGGGGCACTCAGCTTGCTGGGAGAAATATGAGTTCCCACTGTCAATGGAGAGTGTTACTCAAAGGCCAGAAGGTAGAGTGTCAGGGTAAATAAACATGGCAAGCTGGGACCTTAGTTAACCCAAACATCCTGGTCTCCAGAACGAGAATGAGCATTAATTCAGACAAGGAAAGAGCCTTTATCGTCAATGGTGCCTTTTAGGGCCATTACTTCCCTGAACCTGTTTTCAAAATGAGTAGCTTCCGCTTCCACTCAGGAGCTGGAGCTTCTGAGCTCCTGGGTTTCTATATAATTATCTCATTGAAAATGACACTCCACGGAAACGAAAAGGACAAATGCCCAAGATTCAAGGTTACCATGCAAAGTTTCTGAGTTGAAGCAAACAATCGAAGCCATAAGCCAAAGTGCGTGAAGAGAGGGTTCCAGTAAGCTCCTGGAGCCAAATGGTACCCAGGAATCACTGGACCCATTTCTAAATTAGAAGGGCATGACTGCAGGGCAGGGAGAGAGAATACCTTCTACACTGTCCTTAGGCTACTTGGATCTGCAGCTCTGGGCACTGTGGTCAAAGCCACTGATTAATCGAGGACTGGCCTGTCAAGTCTTTTTCTTCCTGTTGGCATCATCCATTCTTGCTTCCATCCACTTGGTACCTCTGTCCTTGTCAACTTCAGGTTCCCTCCCACCAAGTTGCCTTTCCCAAGACTGCTCTCCACTCTACCAACAAAAACTCATACACAGAATTTAACATACCCAGACCTCAGTGTCTCTGCGCATTCATAGACACCAGCTTCAGAATCAACCTGGCCTGCTTGGTAACAACATGGATTCCCCAGGCCCACCACATATCTCCTGAGTTAGAATTTCCTGGAGCTGACCTTGGGGGCATTTATATTTTAAACAAGTTTCCCAGGTAATTCCTGATGTGTTTGGAGACCAGTGTTTGAAGGGATAAAATCTGCTCTACAACTGATGAAATGCAGATATCACTTGGTTAGCCTTTGGAAACCACTTCGGTTAGCTGCAACTGATTCAAGACCTTTAGTCTTCACGCATTAAAGTAATTCATTCAGGACTTGGAGTCACAGGACAGAGGGTGGATCAGACACTTCGGTGGAGATTAGGTGAGGGACCTTCCCAGTCTTGCCGTAAAGGTGCTCTCGTTCTATCCCACACTGCTATTGGTTTCCAATAGCAACACTAGCCTGCCAGTTTGGGATAGATCCCAAGAGAACTAAGAAGTGGAAGAGTCTGTCAATAAAGAGCTAAACATACATTCCAAGAGTTACCTAAAGGTGTTGTCTGTGTTCAGGCTCAAAAAGTAACACAAATCTCCATTTTTCCCAGTTCACTTAGAGACAGGTGTTCTGGCTATCCAAGGAGTGACTTCACTGAGAGTTACTATGTGTGGATTAGAACTTTTGATCAGGATAGAGTGAAAATCAGTATGTAGAGCGTCCAGGCTTGTAGCCCCCCAGGGACTTCCTTTTGCAAGTCAATAAACCCCAACTCATCATGGTAGCCTGCAAGGCCCTATGAGATCTGCCTCTTACCCACCTCTCCAACGTCACAGCTTTCTACCCCCTCACCAGCCAACCACATTGCAGCTACTCCAGATCTTCATTCTGACCCTTGAAAACCCTTCACTTGCTGTTTCCTCCCTCTGGAAAGTTCTCCTGTCGGTTCTTCATGGAGCTACCTCATTTCATTCTTCAGGTCTTCCCCAGACAGCCCTCCTGGATCCTCTGCATAGAGTCCAAGCCATACTTCCATCCCCCATCACTCTCAGTCCCACTGTCCTGGTTACTGACTTTGTAGCACTGATTACCATCTGAATTCTTACTTGCTTCCTTTTATTCTTTCTCTCTTTTCAATAGAATGTAGGCTCCATGAGGGCAAGAATTTTTCTCTGTCTTATTCACCATTATATCAGCAGCACATAAAATTGCTATTGGCATAGAAGAGGGACTCAAAAAATGTTTGTGGAGTGAAAGGATGGATGATGGATGGATTATGGATGGATGATTGTATGGATGGATGGACGGTTGGATGGATGGATGGATAATGGATGATGGGATGGATGGATGGATGGATCGATGATAGAAAGATGACTGGATGGATGGATGGAAGGATGGTTGGATGGTTGGATGGCTGGACAGTGGTGGCGTTGGGTTAACAGGCAGAGAAAATTGAAAGAGTGAGCAGAGATCTCACTTCTCACTTTGTGTTTCTATAGTGGTGAGATTATGCAAAGTTTTACTTTCTGTTTAGATTTTCAGATTTTGAAAAAAATGTTTTAAAGAAATTTGCAAAAAATGAGGATATGAAAATCATACTGAAATTAAGGGTTTTTCTCTCTCTCTCTCTCTTTTTTTTTGTGAATCAGAGGGCCTTTTAGACTTCTCAAAGAATCCATGAACACAGAGAAACAAAGGATATGGATTGAATTCATAACAGTGATGGTAATCACAAAATAACAACAATGATAATACTGGTTCATAGAAAGTGTTTAGGCAGGTCCCAGCACATGAGTAAAGCTTTGTAACTGTTGGTCACAATTTCATTCAATTCTCACAGCAACCCTAGGCTGTTGATTCTATGATCAATCCATTCAGATCAGAATGTGGGGTTTAGAATGTGTCTAACTCGCCTAGAGCCACACAGTTAGTAACCAGAGGAACCTGGATTCACTCCAGTGTGAAGTCAGACAGAAGTTGAATAAGGCACTGTACAATTAATTAATTAGTTACTAAGGCACTGCACAACTCCCATTACTTAGGCTGTGTAACACTGGGCAAGTTAACCTCTGTGCTAAGTTTTCACATCTGGAAAATGGGGCTAACAAAACTACCCATTTCTGCTAGGTATTATCCAGACAAATGAGTCAGTTAATGCATGTAAAGCAACTGGAACGGTATTAAGCATACAGTAGGAATTTGGCAAATCTTAGTTACGATTTAATGATAATTATGATAATACTAATTAGCTCCTCAGTAATAAATAGGTACAGTACAATAAAAGAGGTAGTACTGAGCACATAGCAAGGATTTCCTGACTCTAAGTTATAATTTAGTAATAATCATTATTAGAATAATAGTCATCTCTGCAATGTTCTATTTTGCTATTCTACTATTCTTACTACCACACAGAGAAGAATCCAAAAGAACTGATCATTTAAGCTGTGAGGTGGTCAGTTAAAGAGTAATTGACTGTTTTACCCAAAACCTTCCCCCACACATCATTATCCAATGCTGATGGGGCAGCTAAAGAATGAAAGAAATGTGTAGAAATGACATCTCATGTCATAGAACACCCTCCTGACTGTCTAGATGAGGTAACTGAACGGCTGTCAGAAATCATTCTATAGGCCTTATCCCTGACTCACAATTGCTCTGTATCTCCTGGGATTTGATGCTAAATCTTTAGGAGTTTTGGTTTCAATGAATAGGAAACCTTGATCCACACCCTTCATCCCTGTGGAGAAGTGAGCACACCCTTCATCCCATGATTCATCTCATCTCCTAGATTCCTTTTCTTCATGGGCTCAGTAGAAATGACATTGCCCACATCATTGGCATAATACAGAAATATGAACTGCATTTTTAGAGCAAGGATGCTCATTCTGCTAAAAATTCTAGGAGTCCAGGGCGGATCCTAATGTTTACCACCAAGAGGCATATCCTACTTTATGCATTATCATCTATTAAATTCTCAGCAAGCACAGATGGATCTAAAAGACTCTAAACCCATCTTTTAGAGCATCACATTGTATGTGACTTTAAATTTTCATAAAAAAGAAATATTCAGAAACCTAGGATTGCCTGTTACCAGCATCCTATCCATGTTTTAAAAGTACAACAAAGAAATGATCTGAACGAGGGGCGCCTGGCTGGCTCAGTTGGTTAAGCGACTGCCTTCGGCTCAGGTCATGATCCTGGAGTCCCGGGATCGGGTCCCGCATCGGGCTCCCTGCTCGGCAGGGAGTCTGCTTCTCCCTCTGACCCTCACCCCTCTCATGTGCTCTCTCTCTCTCATTCTCGCTCTCTCAAATATAAAATCTTTAAAAAAAAAAAAAAAAAAAGAAATGATCTGAACGAGCCAAGTCTAGTAAATATGGTTCATGAAATCATGAGGGACATCTTCTGGATCTGAGACCCTTCACGCCTACTCACTCCTTCACGCCTACTCACTCCTGTGGTTTGAGGAAGAATTTCTACCAGCACATCACAATAAAATAAAAATAAAATGGAAATAAAAAATAAGTCAAAAACAGATTTTTGCCCTTGTAAAGTGGGAGTAGGGGCCAAGGAAAGGAAGAAGAGAAAAAGAAGGTAGAATTTCAGTGGAAGGCACCACATAGAAGTAAAAGAAGATCAGAGGAGGAATGGGGAAGGTGGATAGGATGGGAGCACACAGAGACAGGGAATTTGTAATCCAGAATTCCCATGACACATAGGACACAGATGTCGTTTGGTCTAATAACGGTTTTCTTTTTTTCTAGGCAGGCATACCAGACCATCATCGAGTTCTGGAACAAACGCATGTAAAAATCCTTCCATTTGAGAGATATGGCGCACTAGAAGGTTCTGAAGGTGGTACAGTTTCCTTTATGAAGGAACGGACACTCATGCTCTCCTGGGCTGTCCTAGAGTTCAGAACCACTGACCATAAACACACGTGAATTGAAGTAGAGATGGTATTGCTTAGAGAATTCAAACAAAAAAGCCACCCACCTATGCATCAAGGATTGCAAAATCAATGGAAACTCCAGCTCTTCTCCCCCCTAGATATATAATCTTAAGCAAATTAATTCAACTTAATACACTTTAGTTGCCTTTTCTGGAAAATGAGAGCACGATGCCATCTTTGCAGGAGGACTGGGATTATAATAGATAAGTATTAAGCACTTATCATGGCTCTTCACAGATAAAGGGAAATCAATAATTGATAGCTTTTATTATTATAATGATCATGATATTGTTATAAAATCAAGATTTAGTGACTCTGGACCACAGTCTTCAATTCTATACAACTAGAGGGTGTAGCCCCATTTCTAAGAGTACTTATAACTTTAATGTGTCCTCTGTGATTTCATTTTCACTTGCATGGCTTGAAAACTGCCTCTTTTTGCTGCTGTCTGAGTCATGAGTCTCTGATACATTGCTTTTGGACACGAGAATATTAGAGTAGCAGTCCTTCTACACACCCTGGGTCAGGCCATATCATTCCTGGGATCTTGGACTTATCTCAGCATTTCCTGATACTGCTCAGCTTCAGTATTACTAGTTGGTTTTTCCAGCTTGTCCCTCTTTTTAATTTTTGTTGTTGTTTTTGTGTTCCCACTGGCAGGAATTGGCAAACATTTTATGTGAAGGGTCAAATAGTAAATACTTCAGTCTTTGCAGGCTACACAGTCTTGGTCAGAACTATTCAACTCTGCCATTTAGCACAAAGCAACCCTAGACAATATGTGAATGAATGGGTGTGGCTGTGTGCCAATAAAACTTCATCTATGGGCCCTGAATGTGAATTTCATATCATTTTCATGTCTGTGAAATATTATTACTCTTTTGATTTTTTGTCCAGCAACATAAAAATATAATACCCACTCTTGTAGGCCACTCAATGAGTAGCAGAAAGGATCTGGTGTGAGGATGGGCCATAGTTTTCCAACCCATTTTCCAGGGGAAGCTCCCAAAAAGAGATTTTCATTCCCTTTCTCCAAGTCTTTCTGGAGAGCCCTTTGCTTGGTCCATGGCCACCCACTCTCTCCTGCTAGGAAGGCTCCATTATCTTCTGAGGATCCCCCCTTGGGACCCCCCCCCAACACACTGAAGTAAGAACAAGACCACTTACCACATGATCATGATCACTAACTTCATTACAATCTCATTCAAAATGTTGAAGAATTCCACCATCAGCTTGGCCTGCTCTCCCATCTTCCCCATGGCGATGCCAAAAGCAATGAAAAACCCTATCAGACCTGTTGGGTGAATCACATTACATAGAAGGACAGATTACAAAATATGTGTTTCTTCCTCCTTCACCATTCCCGACGTAGGGAGCCACCTTCTCACTTGCCTGTTGCCCTGTGAATTAGGCATTCGATTTCACATGGAAAATACCTTTCTCCTGGATAATTATGGCATCCCTTAACATTTCCCACAAGAGCAAGTTGAACTGTCAGCGGTGTTAGTGCCTTGAAGAAAATGAATTCCATTTCATTCCAAACTCAAAAGGACTCTCTTCTCTCTCCTCCTCACTTATGAAGTCTTGGGTAAGCAGATTCCATAGTACATAGATTAACGAAGGAAGGCTTGTTGGGACTTGGGGATTATCGTGCAAACTTTGGAACCCACATTAGAACTGCAGAGACCAATTAGCCAATAAAATCTCTGCCAGGCTTATGTCTATGTTAGTTTGGTGTTAACCCAAATTCATGCATAGCTGGTATGTTTCACTGCAGGAAAATCCTGGGCATAAAAGTATTTTTCTACTGCTATATGCCTAACGTGAGAAGGAGGAACAACGTTGAAGTCAAATGGAAAGCAATGAGAAATCCAAAACAGTTGGGAAACCCCAACTGACCCAATTCATTTGGATTTAACCTATTATTTATTAATTCTTCATCATTCTTTTCATGGTCAAAATGGTAAGAATGCTTCCTTTTTTACAGCATTTTTTTTTTTTTTTTGCAGTATCATAAAGGCAGAATATAGACTTTGTAACTTTCTAGCTCCTCAGCCCCCTTCTCCCTTCACTTGACATCACTGGACTTACATCTAAATCCAGCCCCACCACAGTCTCTAGGGTCAATCCTATCCCCAGGCTGGAAGGATGTGAGGAGCTCTGTCTCCATCAAACTGCACTAGGTCCTGAACCAGCTCTAACACCCAAACTTGGGTCTTATCTCTGTGTTGTCTTTACCTCATTCCCTCCATCTGAGTACCTGTCCTGGAAAGCTGCCATATACTTTGGCTCCTCCAAGCTGGGCCTGGCTTCTCTTTCCCCAGAAGATCCTCTCCCCCTACTATTCCTTCCCATTCTTGTCCTCAGAGTCTCACCCCCAGCCTGAAGTCTCACGAGCCCCACCCAGGGACTGAGCCACTACATGGCTTACAGACATCCCCATTACTGCCTGTCTGGATTTCTGATTACCAATCACTGTGTGCCCCTACCCCACTCCTGATCCATGATTGTCAATCCTGGGACTCCAATTCTGACTACTTGCATGAACTGTCAATCAATGCTACTGTGCCCCTGGCCACAGGACCTTGCTTGCCCATCTGACATTTTCTCTGAAATGCAGTATGGCCCATCTTCTATACCCTCTCCTTCCTTCCTCTTCCCTACACCTGCCCTATCCCAGTTTGGCAGGCCTAGTTGCCAGTCCTCTCTATTACCTCCGGTTTCCTATTGTGTCTAGTTATGGCTAGAGTCTTGAGTTATTCTGGGCAAATTATAGCATGATGATTTGATTCTCTTAGGGAGAAATTCTTTCTCTCTTAGCCTCTAACTTTACCCTTTTCCTAGCTCCCCAAAAACCACTCACTTCCCCACACCAACTCAGATTGTTCAACTATCCTTCACTAGATCCTCTCTTTGGCAAAAAGAACCCAGCACCTGCACTCAGGATTGTTAATCCCTGGTAGTGAATATTTCTCCTTTTCAGCTCTCAGCCAGAACGACTGGCAAGTGCCTTACAAGTGAATTATTGGCCATAGAGACAGAGGCTTAGTGAAAATTAGTGACCAGGGAAGAGTGGCCTAGCTCTGCCATCATGTATGGAACCAAATTTGGGCTATTCCCAAGCCCTTCTCTCAAGCCCATGGAGAGGAGTTTGCTAGGTGTGTGGTGAGAAATAATCTGTGAACATTCTGGCTGAGAGGAGCTAGTATTACCTAGTTAATTCCATTTGGAGATTTTAAGAGAAAACTCTCAAGGTCTCAAAGTCTCAAAGAGCTGGCATAAAAAAGATCCCCTTGCGGGGTCAGCAGAAACTGGGCCACATCTATCACTAGGAGAGAGAGACATTGGAAGGAGCAAACTCTTCCGGGAATTGATTTAATGGTTGGGGTTACAGTAGAGCTCAGAAGCAGTCTGGAGGTTACTGGGGAGAGAAATGAGTGCTTCAAGAAGAAGGAGGCCAGACCCAAAGTTTTATCTTCACTTATTGCAATACTTGATCATTGGGACTTTCCAAAGGTGGTAGGGCGGGGCGGGGGGGGGAAGTCACCTTCTCCACCCTTAGAAGACCAAGGGATTTGTACATGGGAAGTTTCTCAACAGTCTAACTTCCTTTGGCTTTCCAGAGCTCAATCCGCAGCTGCCCACCCATGTTCAGCTTCCATGTCATTTCCCTCTGTCAATGTTGCCTGACTACAATCACTTACTGGAACTGGGGCGTTTTGCTTGAACAAAGCCCCCTTAGACTTGGTCATTGGGGCTGCAAGAGTAGTGAGCTGTGTTGAAACTCCCAGTGCAGCCCAGGGTCAACATGACTTCCCAGAATCCACTGAGAATCCAGAAACGGACCATGAAAGTCTTCTGAATGATTCACCCCAAAGTTTTGGCCTCATTCCTCATGGCCTTAACCTCCTCCAGAGTATGTAGAAGACTGTGGGTTCACTTTGACCCTGGGGCTTCGGAGACAGAGTATGGTTGGGAAGGTCCTGAAAGTTCACACATATCTGGGCAGTGGGTGAAGAGGGGTAGATCCGGGGTGGATGCTGAGGATATTTACAGGCTCTCCTCAGAGGAACTGACCCACTTTGTCCTCTCTCCTTCCTCCTGTCACCTCACACTGACTGTCAACAATATCTATTGATCTTCCATTGCCTGCCAAACCAGTCAGCTTATCTCCTCCCACCCTCTCACTTACTCAACCTGTTTCCTGCCAGGCCAAACTAAGAAGATCCCTCACTGAAGCTTCTGCTTTTCAGTGCCTCGACAATCCTTCTTCTCTGCCTCTTTCTCTCAATCACTCTGCGTAAGGTAGGTGTCAGGTTATCAAGTTTAGAACAAACAAACAAACAAACAAACAGGATACCCAGTTAAAATGTGAATTTCAGATAAACAATGAATATATTTCATTTTAGTATAAGTACATCCCGTGCAATATTTGGAACATACCCTACACTAAAAAAAATCATTTGTTGTTCATCTGGAATTCACCCTTAACTGGGCATCCAGTACTTTATCCGACAACCCTACTAAGGAGACAAGGGCATTTGATCTCCTAGATGGCAAAGTGGAAGGACCACTGAGCTGATCCCCTTCTAACCAGCTCTCCCTCAAGTCCTTAGAAATCTTGCTTGCATGGATCCATCTATTTCTCCTGCCCAGCTTCCTTGTTTCTCTGAGCTTAGGGCCAAATGTCCTTCTTTCTTGTGTAGGGGACGTCAGTGTAACAGTGGGTGTGGGGTATGTTGGAGAGTGGCCCCAGGGAGTGGATGGGGAGTAAACTGAGCAAACGGGAGTCACCCACATGATGGGAGTCTGCATCCTCTGCGGGCTGTTTTCTTATTGAGCTCCTCCACTCTCCATCCACCTTGGATAGCGACCGTAGCTTGCACCAACAGAGCATGCAGCATAGGCCACTGTGCCCCGCGGGTGCAATCTCATTTAATACTCAGAATGATCTACAAGAGAAATGCAATCCATCCCCACTTTACAAATGAAGCTTGAGAAGTGGAGCAACTTGGCCATGGTCAGGTCACCAGTGAGTGGTCCATAAAGGATCCAAACCTGGTCTACCTGCTGAGCCAAAGACCCAAAGCCATGGAAGGCTAGGAAGGCTCCGTGCTAGGGGAAAAGGGCTCATTGGAATCCCCAAAAATTAAACAAGGTAATCTCCTTTGGATAAGCTCCTTTTTGGCACCAACACCAACACTTTACACTCCTGATAGCATTGTATTTGTTTAAAGACTGTGAAAGCCAGGGTGGGCTGCCCCTGTGCTGAGCACAGAATTAACACCCAAGGGCAGCTCAAAAATTAAAATAAAAGCTTAAAAAATGAAAAAATTGGATGTGTAACTTCACGAAATGGACTGTGTGCCAACCACACAGAGTCAGGGAATGTGCCCAATGAATGTTAGTCTGCTCTCTTTTCCCATAACTGACCCCTTGCTGCCATGTCCCCTCGTGGTCCTGCTCACTCTCTCCCTCTTCCTTAATCTCCCAACTACCGGTCTTCGTGACCCTCAGATCGCTCTCTAGAGAGAGCCTCCTGCTCACCTACAGAACAGCAGCGATGGGTTTTCTGAGAAGGGAGGCAGTGCTGCTGAGGCGCTGAGAGGCAGGGAGGGCAGGCCATCATCCCCCCACTGAGGTGTACACCAGGTTGCCTACCTAAGACATTCATGCCGTCCTTGAACTCCAGGCCCTTCTTGATAACCACCTTCGCTTCCTCAGGCGCCTCCATCACAGTCTCGTTCAACAAGGAGATGACAGCGTTGGTGGCATTGCCCTCCTCGTCTGACGGAGGTGCCACCAGGACTTTCTTGGTCACCGTTTGAATCTAATAGAGTGGGGGAAAACAGAAACATGAGAGGTTTGGTCGCCCAAAGCCTAACCACTTACATGGTTATCTCTCGCTCTTTTTTAAAAGTTCCCAGTATGTTAACAAAATAATTAAGAAATGTCAAAACAAGGTTACAAAAGTTGGGGAATATTTGATATGTCTGTGTTTAACAAAGTGGTGTTTTATTACATAATACAGTGGGAAACGATTATCCTCATCACATGATAATTACAGGATTTATAACTTTCATTTGTAATGAAGTGTGATCCAGTAACGGGACACAAACTTCAAGGTGGCGGACAGACGTCTACTTCTTTTATTCCCATGATGGTAGCCCTGCATCTTGGAGACAACATCCAGCAACCAACACGGAGGCTCTTCATAATTGCAAAACCAGTTGGATGACCCTTCTTGCCTCTTGGGAGGGGCCCAGGATCTGGTCAAGAGTAGGAGAGTGAGGGTCTTGGCAGGGATCAGGTGATTCTTCATGGTGCACCTGTTTTGCTCCTTTCTGCCTGGTACCTGTCTGGCAGAGTCTTCACAGACTGACTCTCATTTGGGCTCCTTCCAGAGTCATGCTCTGCTGGGCATCTCCATCCGGTCACCAGATGTACTAGATGCCAACAGCTGCCATGACAGGGATGTTGGCTTACACTTCAGATCAAAATGTAAGGAGAGAAGACCCCACTCCTTCTAGGCAGTGATACCAAGCCTTGCTCAATGTTTCCTAAGCATCTCTGTGCAAATGGCCTCCCAAGAACCTCTCATGCTATTCCTCAACATCTGTGACATCCATTCTATTTTTAAAGGTGCCAGGCACCCTGCAAGCACAGTGCTGTGAAAACTCACATCGGAGACCAGAGAAACAATACCTCCAAGGGCATTAAAATAGAACTCATGCAGAATCCTAGAATGTCAGTGCTGGTACATAGTAGGCAACAGATGGCTGAACCCTGAATAGATATGGAAGAGGAGGCATGGGGAACTCAAATGACTTGTCACTCAACACAGAGCTCTTGGCAGAGTTGGGACTTGAACTCAGAGGGCCTGAGTACCACTGAATTCTTCCACTCCCTAAGCTCCATGGATCCAGTCCACTGTGGCTGAGCCTAACAGTGAGCAATGCCCAACTGACCAGCTACCCAAAGTGGGAGAGAAGGAGGAGGTGCTCTGTTCTAGCCTGACCACCTGCACTTGTGCAGGGAGGGAGGCAGCTCAGGCTGAGTGTGCAAGGGGAGAACAGGAAGCTCATGGCCCTCTTGGTCTGGGCAACATTGGCATGAAGAAAGAACACAGGAATGATCAGAAGGGGAGCTTCTGTGAGCAACAGAGTCATGCTCCCAGGGGAAATGGGAGGACCGGAAGCCAGCTGTGGACCTGTCCTGGGAATGCTAAAGAAGCCAAGGCTTGAGTTCAAAAGACTAATGGCCATGGTAGTAAATAAATCGTGGCTCTCGGGATCAGGTGGGCAGCCAGGTGCTTCACATTTGACATCTATCATCTCTTCTGTCAACCGTAGCCCCTCAAGGCTCACAGGGCTAACTAACTGCAGGGCAGACAGCTAGCTAGTTGCTGAAGCAGGATTCAAAATGAGTAATGTTTGACTCCAAAATCAGCTTCCAAACAGCACAGGCCAGTGGCTTAAGTTGCAGGCAAGTTGATAGGGATACTGGAACACAGGCTTGGTTTCTGCCTGAGTTCTTGATCTGAGTCTATTTGGGTTGGACAACGCCATCTAGGTGCCAACTCCAGTCTACCCGAGTCCAAGCCACCAGGGTCTCTTACCTTAGAACCTACAAAAGCCTGCTCACTGCCATTCTCACCCCCCTTCTAGTCTACCTGCAAACACCGGGTATGTCTAGCTACCCAGAGCTCTTTCTACATTCAGAAAATAGAAAAGCAGTTGTCTCCCTGCCTAAAACTCTCTTAGAATAAGTACCCGAGTCTGACCCTGGCCTACCAGGTCCTGCCTGAGCTGGACTTTGCTTCCCCCAGCTCACTCTACCTCCCACACATTGGCCTTCCTTCTCTCTGGAGGCACCTTGGCTTGGCAGGCCTCCGCCCCCAGTCCTCCGCCCAGCTCAGCCTGTCCCTCACTGTTTCAGTTCAGGTGTCTCTCCCAGTTACTGCAGAGCCTATCATCCTGCCTCCAGCGCTCAGAGTGCACTTATCTTAATTTTTTAAATAGCTTGTGTATTTACCTGATGTTTGTTCTGGTCTGTGTCCCCCACCCCCGGAATGTAAGTAAGTTCCCCTGGGCGGGGACCCAGACTGTCTCATTGCCTGTGGTGTCCTGTGCACCGTGGAAAGCCTGGCAGCCAGGAGGTGCTCAAAAATACGGAATGGACGAGCAAACACAGATCACTGGATTCCCCAGAAGAGAAGACCCTTGTGGTCCCTATCACTGGGTTTGACGGCATGTGGTCAGGCCACACCTTACCGCCCGTTGCTCTCCTGGAAACCTCAGCCTGGTTCACCTCCCTGCTCTGTAAGACACAGGGCCTGCCACCTGGGGAAAGGCAGCCTATGCTCTGGGGACGTGCACCTTCCTCTTTCCATCCCTGTGTCTAACTCTGGTCGTGAGGCCCCCCTAGCCCCCAGCCAAGACAGGCTTCTTGTTGTCACGTTCAGCTGCATCCCAAGGGCACGGAAGGCACCTCCTGGGCACCCTCTCTCTCTCTGGTAATGCGATGTCACTGTACAAGGATTCCCTCTCTCTGAGCCATCTTCAAGGTCCCCTGAGCCCATGGATTGCTCCTAGTTTAAGACCCCTTTCCTCTAGGCTGCCTGGAGTCCAGCTTAAGGAATCCGCATGCTCCCTTACCCTGAAGTAAATAAAAGATCTACACAGGGGCACCTGAGTGGCGCAGACAGTTGAGCATCCAACACTCGGTTTAGGCTCAGGTCATGATCTCACGATCGTGAGATGGAGCCACGTGTCGGTCTCCCCTCTCAGCGTGGGAGTCTGCTTGAGATTCCCTTTCCCTCTCCCTCTGCCCCTCCTGCTCCTGTTCTCTATCTCTCGCTCTCTAAAATAAATAAATAAATCTTAAAAAAAAAATAAGATTCTGGGGCACCTGGAGGTCTCAGTTGGTTAAGCGTCTGCCTTTGGCTCAGGTCATGATCCCAGGGTCCTGGGATCAAGCGCCGCATCGGGCTCCCTGCTCGGCAGGGAGCCTGCTTCTCCCTCTCCCCACTCCCCCTGCTTGTGTTCCCTCTCTCGCTGTGTCTCTCTCTGTCAAATAAATAAATAAAATCTTTAAAATAAAAAAAATTTAAAAAAAAATAAGATTCTACACAATTTTTCCTGATTGTCCTAACTCAAAGGGACAATGACCCTGGGCTTCGCTGGGGGACTAAGGGTTCACGCCTCATGAATGTTGCCAGTGGAGGGGTGGGTCCAGGGTGGGGGCAGGGCAGGGAATGGCTCAGCCCCCAGTGGCCCTGCCATGGGCAGCTGCATGCCGAGACCGCCCTTTGACCAGACAGGTCACCAAGCGTGAGCACGGCGACACATGTGTGAGCACGGCTCACCGCAGACCAGAGCAACGGCTCCAGGTGCCTGCCTGCTTCAGTCCTGCCTCGCTGACTGGGATGAAGGGGTCACCTTGCACGGAGCATGGGCACGATGGGGCCCAAGAAGGAGGCCCTGATCCACCCCCCGCTCCCCGGTTCACAGCTATACTTCCAGAGTGCTCTTTTCAAAATATTAACAGTAGACTGGACACCCGGGTGTGTCCATCTCCCCAAAGCAGGCGAATGCATCTTTCAAGTGGGCTGGCAAGGGGGGCAAGCACGCTCTACCGAGAGAGCACCAGGAAGCACCCCTCCCCGGCCTGCTGCTCTTCCCTCCCCAACCAACCTCCCCGGTTGCAATGGTTTCTTTTATTTTTGTTATTATTATTTTTTTAATGGAGACTTTTTGTTTTGCTCTTTATTGTTTTTTGTTTTATTTTATTTTATTTTATTTATTTATTTTTTTTTACTGAAGTTTAGCTGACCCACAAGATTACATTAATTTCAGGCATACAACATAGTGATCTGACAAGTCATTACATTATGCCCTGCTCACCCCAAGTGAAGCTGCCCTCCGTCTCCACCCAACGCTGCCACAGTAGCATTGACTATATTCCCTCCGCTGTGCCTTTCTTCCCTGTGACTTGCTCATTCCATCGCTGGAAGTCTGTCTCCCACCCCCCTTTGCCTGTTTTGCCCATCCCCCACCCCCTTCCATCTGCCAACCATTGGTTTGTTCTCTGTATTTATAAGACTGCTTCTGCCTTTTGCTTGTTTGTTGTTTATTCATTTGTCCTGGCTTTTAGGTTGCATCTACAAGTGAAATCATATAGTATTTGTCTTTCTCTGACTGACTGATTTCACTTGGCATCATACCCTCTGGGTCCATCCATGTTGTTGTAAATGGCGAGATCTCATTCTTTTTGATGGCTGAGTAATATTCCATTGTGTGTGTGTGTGTGTGTGTGTGTATACAAGCTGTATACACACACACACACACACACACACATCTTCTTTTTCCGTGAAATGCTTTTCTTTAACATGACTCCATGCTATAAGAGCCAGCAAAAAGTGGCACTGGAAATAAGAGAACACATCCTAACCCAGAGTCATTCGGGCTCAGCAGTGGTGGACAGCAGCATTTTGGGGACAGCTGGGAATGCAAACTTCTCCTCCAGGCAGCCTGTTTCCTAAGTTCATTCTTCTGTGATGCCCTGCAAATGGCTGGAGCAGGTTCTTTGGTTCTAGGTGACTTCCTATGCAGACTAGTGGAAACTGGAGTATATTCTAACCTAACCTGAACTTGGGTCTAGACAACGGGCTGGTGAGTAGGGCCTCGGCAGCTCTCTCAGTGGTTCCACTCATTAGAATCATCCATTTTTTAAAATCATAAGGTTTTATAAAAAATTGATCTGCCTGTATGCAGTTGGTAGGAGTATACATTAATACAAACTTTTATAGAGCCATTTTGCAACATCCATCAAATCTGAAATACAAAACTCTTTGGGAAGACATTAGCATCCAAGAATTTATCTTTTAGATATACTACACAATCATGAAAAGAGAGAGATGATGCCGGAGCCCTGTTAAATAAAAAACAAGTGCAATGCGGTACATGTAATGCAATACCCCTTGGGTTGAACTTTTTTCTTTTGTTAAGATTATGCACACATGTGGGGCAGTTGGTTGAGCATCTGACTCTTGGTTTGGGCTCAGGTCATGATCTCAGGGTTGTGAGATTGAGCCCCACATCGGGCCCCAAGCTGAGCACAGAGTCTGCTGGGGTCTCTCTCCCCCCTCGGCCCCTCTCCGTGCTCGCACACTCTCTCCTGCTCTCTCTTGCTCTAAAATAAATAAATAAATCTTTAAAAAAAGATTATGCACACATGCATACTATACATGTGGAAGGAAACAAAATTCCCAACATGACTAGTTCTAGGGAAGGGAAGTGAGGACTTGACTCCTTAGGGGCATCTACACTGTTTAAACTTTTTATAACCCTCATGTATTACTTCCACAATTTGAAAATACCCATTCCCTGGGCCCACACTAGAGATTCTGATTCTATAGGGCATGTGTATTTTTTAAATCTACCCCATGCGGTTTTGCTATACTACCAATACTGAGACCCCCTGGGCACTCTAGAGGGTTGTGGGCAAAAGTGATAAAAATGTGCCCTTGGACAGCACACAGAGGGGAACCAAAAAACAAGGAAAGAGGTAACAGGAAAAAAAAAAAAAAGGCAAGAAAGGGGAATCCCAGAGCAAAGAGATGCTAAGTGAGCTGGGAAAAAAAAAAGGAGGTTAATAATGAAAAACAAAAACAAAAACAAAACAAAACAACCCCACGACTTTAATCCCCAAATCCTGCTCCAAATCATCTCATACAAGCTCAAGGGAGAGATAATTAAATATAAGAAAACTGCTCCCCAGGGCTAGTTCACTGAAACACTTTCCAAGTTATTATCCTGATAACTTAGGAGGTTGGAGGGCAAGAGCATAGGAACTTTGGGTTACCTGTTGAAAACAGGCTTGGACCAAGTTTTCAGGAAAGAGATTTCGAATAAGGTCCAGGAAGGCATCCAGGCTGGACACTTCATCATTCTTCTTCCCGGGCCCCAGCTGCTTCTTGAGTTTGGGGTTCCCCGGGTGGATAGCCAAGACCAGGATGACCCCCAGCACTGCAGCAATGATGGTTGTAGACATGTAATAGACCATGGCTCTCGTGCCTAAGCGCCCACTGGCTTTAGCATCCAGGCCCGACAACCCTGGATTGAAAAGACATTGGAAGGATTAATCCTGTGATGTCTCCGTTAACTCCCCATCCCTGCATACCTATAACATGGCTTTGTATTACTCAGATGCATTCATGGTTGATTAAACCTCCTCCTACTGAAGATTTCAATCCTAAAGTTTACAGTTCTATTTTTTTTTTTAGATTCTAGAGAACTGGGGAGAGTTGACGATCTCTTGCTCAGAGTTTATAAACCTGATCTTGCTTGTTCAGAGTTTATAAACTGATCGGTGACTACTTTTCATCAGTCCGCAATAGTGAGTTCAAGTTGAATATATTCCATTTTTAATTCTGAGATGATGTCCTTCCCACTTATTTGGTATTAAGATATCCTTTCTTTATGAAGTGATGGTGCCAGTACCTGCTGGTTTCTACTTTTTTTTTTAATGTCCTCACTTAAAAAATGAGAAGCTGGTAGGCCTGGTGACTGATATCAAGAGTCTAGCATAGTGATCTAGCACAGCCCTCATTCCTCCAAAGTGAAGCATGGTGGAGACCCACATTTTCCAACCTAGTGCAGGGGCTGGAGAACAAAAAGGTGGGACTTTGTCTATACTGTAGGAGGTCCTGTGATTGTTAGAGGAAATTCCAAGCCAAGTCACAAAAACTCCTACCTTCACTGGGTTTTTTCCCAGTTGTTTCTTCAATTTTTCTACTTCCTGGTTTCAGTTTCTGCTTTTACTAGACAGAGACATTGTAGCACTTGCTGTGGGGGAGGAAGTCATTGGCGTAAGCTTTCCTGAATTGAGCTGACCCATATATGAGCCACTTCTCCTTACAACCTAAAGTCGGATTCTGGCCAACAGATGTTCAGTTTCCTGGCCAGCTTGCCCAGTCTAAGGACTGTTAAGCGGGCATGGAGAACATTGTCTCTGGTTTGCAAAGGAGCCTTTAAGGTGAAAGTACAGTGTCGCTCAGTCTGGGGCTGAATGATGAGACCTTGCATTCACCAGGCTCACTGGTCAACCAGAGATGAGACTCTAGAACAACCTGGTTTAGCATCTGAATCTCTTGGTGTTTCCAGAGCCTCACTTCCTTTATAAGGGAGAGAGTCCAGAGGGACAGCTTTCTTAAGGTCATCCCGATGGCACCCAAATCAAAGCCTAGCTTTCATCCTTAACTCAGAGCTCAGTCTCTAAACTACAATTTATACCCTATTTGAGCAATATCATTTGGTAAGGAAAAAACTGCCAGTATAAGCCCATAGAAGCAAACAAATTCTTTCAAATAAAACAATTCTTTCAGCCCAAAACAAGTGAACATAATCTACACATTAAGGGAGCTCTTCTTCCAAAAACCTCGAAGGGTTTCATATCTAGGCTTTATTTTATTTTTCATACCCACTTCCCTCTATACCCAGTTAAATAGTTAAGAGAAAATTTCCTTTTCTATCTGTTACTTTTATTTATCAGTATCTGAACAAGGTATAATTTGGGAAATGAGAAAAGTATACATTCAAAATTAAAATCTCTATTGTTTACATCACTTTTAACATGTGTTTCCTTTTCATCCTTTATTGCTAGACAGACAGATGGTCGGACTGACCAACAGATGGAATACTTTTTTAGGATTCATAATCCCCATCTGAGAGACATGACAACCAAGGCTCTGAAATAAAATCACACAGACAATCACATTCATTCATTCAACCAGATTGAGATTCGATGGTCAACCCACAAACCAGAGCAAGATTATGATCCACTGTGGGCCAGGCTCCAGAGAGGTGGTCTTACCTGTGATTAAGCTGGAGATGATGAGAGGGAGGATGAGCATTTTTAGCATCCTCATGAGTATATCCCCTGGGAAGGCTATTAACATGACCACATCAGGGTGGAGAGGAGATGCCAAGCGAAGAAGCCCTCCACACACTGCCCCCAGGATGACACCTAGAAGGGAGAGGGGGAAATATCTGAATTTCTGTTTTGCCTGAGTCAAATGAATAGCTCTAGGGGTTCAGTGACATTGACCTTTCTCATACCTCCCTGTTATATGATGATGAATAACATGTAATGAAAATACCATCGGATGAGTAAAGTTGATTTTAATGACTGGTGAGAGAATATTGGTGTACCTCCAACTAATCTAACAAGCAGCTCTGGGAGGGCCAAGGAGAGCCTTCTCAAGGCTTTATCAGGAGGATATATGGTGACTTGACTAACTTCTTTGAGGATACTGTTCACTTGTACTATCAGAGATTGTCAGCAGAAATAATCCATAGTACCAAGTATTGCTTCCTACCTCCCAGCCTAGGCCTGGCAAGGGGCAAGGTGCTTAATGTATTCCTTCTCTTTCTAACTGCATACCAGATAAAAGGAACATTTGATTTACCAAGCTAGTGTGAGTTTCCTTTTTCCTTCTATTTTCTTTGGCTCCCAACAATTTCCCCATGGCTCATTCTCAAAAAGTTTTGTCCTTGACTTCTATGTTCTCTTACATATCTTGAGACTTGCTTTTCTGGGACACTTTTATGGGAGATTACAGGATGTCTCTAAAAGTATGTAATTTGGGAGGAAACAATTTGGGCAGAGTTGCTGGCAGGAGCCTTTCACTTTGCATACTCGGGGATTCCACAAGACAAACTGGATATCAGCAAACAGGCAGCCAACATAAAAGATTCTTTTATGAAACCACAAATCAGGTCATAGCACCACTGGCTGAGAGGAAGGGCGGAAGTTCCTGGGTCCATGGGCTATGGTGTTAACTCCAGGGATGTGCAGGGAGGGCTGTGGCCAAAACCCTGATCTTTTTTTACTTCTACAGGAGAAAAACATACTTCTTGATGACCTACGATGAGTGAAATTTCTTTATTCCAAAGTAAGCTTTGGAAACCCCTACCACACCTCTGTCTTCTTTCATTAAGTGAACTGAACTGTGGCAAGCCCGCAGTTCTGACCCTGGTCCACTGACGTCCAAGATGACGGACTCAAAGGAGGAGAAGCCAGGGAGCTGAGTGGGGAAAGGGCTGGAGGTGAGGAGTTGTTCATTGCTTCTGTGCGTTGCCTAAGAGAGAGCTGAACAAGAGGGCTCAAGAAAGGAAATGGTGTGGTTGTCATTACAGGACCCTGCAATTTGCCCCATTTCCAATAAACCCTGGTTGAAAACCTAAGACCAAGATTGTGTCATCAGTGACACCAAAGGACAATCACAGCCTGGGTGAGGTCTGAAGCAGAGGAATCAGACTTTGAAGATGGAGCCAGAGCAGATCAAGGCTTCTGAACAAGCCTCTTCCACCCTGACCTCATTAGCTAATGTGCTAAGCTAATCGAAGGTAATGAGGTATTTGTAGGCTAGACCTCTGGAGCCCTCTTAGTGGGGTTTTCAGCACCTGCTGCCTCTATCTTCAGGCACGTATTCCTCTAAATGTGGTATGCCGACCATCTGCTTAGGAATCACCTAGAAGTTTTGTTATGATGCAGAGTCCAAGACCTCACTGCAGATGGCCCAAAGTCTCCACGTGCAGGGCCAGGAATCTGCATGTTAACACACTCACAGGAAGTTGTAAGATCGACTAGAATCCCAAGGAAGAAAATGCATGGCTGGGGCAGGTGAGGGGAAGATTTATCATCAAGGCAGCCATGCCTGGGCAAAGGAGGCCTTAGGGAGGACACGAGGCTTCCTTCCAGTGGGAGGGCTGGCTGTGGGACCCAGCTTCCCCAAAGAGCCCGGAGAGAGCCAGGGAGGACGGGTGGCACCTGTCACCTACCGAACACAGTCAGTGTGAGCAGGAGATTCTTCCCCAGCTTGTCACACAGACGTAAGCCTAGATGCCGCTGCTTCGGTTCCTCTGAGCTGAGATGGCTGTCGTGCATTCGTACCTCCACCTGCTTGGGCATGTTGTTGGCACTGCGATAGGAGCACAAGGAGTGGTTAGAGCCTGCTGGGTGCCGCCCAGATACAGTTGGAGGCGCTCAGGCAAGAGCAGGTGAACAGGCCTCCCCCAGGCACAGCGGGGTATCTGGAACCAATGGTAGGAAAATAAAAACCAGAGCAACTCAGGGTACTCTGAATTCCAGTTTATCTGTAAGCAGGACACCAGGACACACTGAACATCCATGTGCCAGGCACGTCTATTCCTACCATCTTGGATCATCATGGTAAAGATCAGGGGCGCCTGGGTGGCTCAGTCAGTTAAGCGTCTGCCTTCGGCTCAGGTCATGATCCCAGGGTCCTGGGATGGAGCCCTGCATCGGGCTCCCTGCTCAGCAGGGAGCCTGCTCCTCCCTCTCCCTCTGTCCCGCCTCTTCTCTATCTCTCTGTCTGAAATAAATAAAATCTTAAAAAAAAAAAAGGCATACCACAAGAAGTGGTGAGGTTTTTTCCTAAGAGTTGCCTACCATGGTAACTCTGGGAGGCAGGAATCCCTGCTCCATTTTCTAGAAAGTAAACTTGCTCAGGGTCACAAGTCTAAAAGAAATGGAGATATAAACCCAGATATGTCTGCCTCTAAAACCAGAGCTCTTTCATTCTTGTCTCAGCGGCAAAAAGGCGACTTCTGAATGACCTAAGATCAGAAGAGTCATGACCTAAGTCATGCTACATTAAAATGCCTCTGAGCTCAAGCTTTCCCCATCCTGGTCATGGAAAAGTCATAAATGTGGGTAGGCCAAGCTTGGCCTCTCTTTTGACAAGGATGGTTTACCCAGTTTGTTTGTTTGTTTTTAATTCAATCTACTGTGGTTTTTAAAAGGTCATTTGCATTATCAGGACTCTGTTAAGCTGCCCGAGTCATGCCACTCAGCGTCAAAGAAGGATGGCTTTAAGAAGCACATGATCACCTCCATCCCTCAATACAGCCTAGCCCTTTTCCAGATAAACCCCATGGGAACCCAAGCTGTGGGGAGAGTCTGCAGTGAAACCCTTGTTGGGTAATAAATACACCACCTCTTTTTCCAGCTTTGCCATTTGCCAGGCCAATAAGATTTCAAATTTAAGCTTGGAGATTGACATAGAAAGGCCTTTTTTTTTTTTTTTTTACTTTGACAACTTAAGACACTTTTGTTAGCTGCCATTTCCAATCACCATCATGTGATTACAAATGTTTTGCAGTCTTTAACACCTAGAAAGACAGGTCACAGTCTCCGAATAAACGGCAACGCCTTCAAGATGGGACGGTGTTAACCTTACCCAGACTTTCTCACCACAGACTGGAAAAGCCTTCTTTGGAACCAATATCAATCTGCAGGCCAGTGGTTTAGAATCACTGGTTATAACAGAAATAGCGTGGGTTTTGGAAAGAGGGAACCTGGGATTCACTTGCTAGCTGCGTGGTATGGAGAAAGAAGGCCTTGATGCTTCGCTTGTGGAAATGAACGTGATAAAGTATGTTAGCGGCCTAGAATGACACCTATGCAGGTGGTGCCTTCACGCAGGGAGCATGGAGACACACAGTCTTCATCAAGTTTGTGACAAGGGTGACATGTAACTCAGGGGACCTACCTATTTGCACCACCATTCCAACAAGACACCAAGCTTAGCTTCCAGAGCCTCAGATTGAAGACCAGGGACCCAAACACAACTACTTTTTCATAACAGGCTGCTTAATATACTTGCTACCAAAATACTATGAAATTAGGAATGATGTTTCACGGTCTGGTTAGAATACCCAACTGAAAATATTAGTCCAAAACATAAGCCTCTTGGTCTCCCTTGGTGACCTGATTATCTACTCCTCTGGTTCGTTTTGTGGCAACCTCTGACTAGCTGATAATGTGTGTGGCTAACGATCACGCAGACTGTCTGAAAAGAAAGTAGGACAGACCTGCTCGCAGCAAGCAGATGAGGGCCAATCTGGTCGGCAAGCGACAAACCCCGCTTCCTCTAATCACCAAGCAAAACAGACAGGAAGGCTCTCTTGACGACACAGCAGGGGAAAATGATCAAAACGATCTTTTTTAACATGGACAGACTACATTTCAATGTTTCCATTGGGATCTTTTGATATTTTTAAACACGTCTCCAGCCAGTCATCTGAAGCTCTAAACCAAGAAATGGCCAAAAAAGAAGGGAGGCTATGTGTGCATGTGTGTCTCTGAATTAGAGAAGGGATCTCTCAGGCAGCCTTTGGTATCACTCCGCATACCCTTAAGACTGTAAACCCCTGCCTTCTGCTTCATTCGAAGCCATTTTGCCACTGAAGTTAGACTCAGGCCCATGGTTGGTATTTAAGTGAGACTAACAAGTATTTACACCAAACGTTCTGGCAAGTTCCATAGGATATAATGAAAGTGTCAGGCATCAAAACAGTCATGTCAAAGTGAAAACACACAGATACTAGGTACATGCATATACTCAGTCCAGCAGTGTACTTGGGGGCCTGTGGAGCACGATCCTTGGTTTGATTTTCAGGCCATGACAAAAGGTCCTTGCAACCCCAAATCAAAAGCCACATCAAAGGGGCAGTGCCAAAAGGCCATGAAGCCACATGTATTTATTGAGAGGATTTCTGTGACTTCCTTAGCCCCCCTTGAAATGAAACAAATGCTCCAGGCTCATAGGAGTCCATGACATCTGCACATAGAGAATGATTTGTAAAGTACATCAGGATCCCAGCCTGCATCTAGGAACCCTAAGAACTCTTGGTAAAGATCCCACACCAGTCTAAATGATCACTGCATCACCAGAACACAAGGAGAGCCTGAAACGGGGAATATTGCAGAAGACAACATTATATCATATTACAGAACAACACAGAGCTGTTTCTAAGCCTTATATAGCTTCAGAATATTTTAAGTGAGATTACACACATACACAGCTATACGAATGCTGGTTACTGAATGCACATAGTAACCGCGGTAATCACAAGGATACCTCCTACTTACTGAGTGCTCTATATGTCAGCTGTTCTACTCAGAAAAGAGTAAAGTGCAATCCTTGCTCTTAAGGAGTTCGTAAGGGGAAACAGAAAGCACACTGTACAGTACTTGTTTGCTTTACATGTGGGCCATGGTCAAGCTCTGCAGGGCATGCTATGCAAATGGGAAGAATGGCACCTAACCTTGCTTTGGGGAAGAAGAGTGTTCAAGAAAGGCTCCCAGGAGGGCTGATACCAGAGTTACATCTTAAAGAAGGGATTTAATGCAAATGTCCATCCGCCACCAGTCCAAGAACCCTGGGAGAGCAGGGCTGTGATCTTTGACACCTGGCTCCAAGTGCTTGATGAATGTTGGCTCGAAGAAATTAGGAATTAGAAAGCAACTACAAAGGGCACCTTGCTTTCTCCTGGGAACAAGGCCCTTTTATAGATAGACTGGCCGCATACCGCTTCAGCAAGCCTCTTTCCAGTCTTGCATTTATTCCACAGATTTCTACTAGACACATACGACAGTTCCCATGCTGTTCGAGGTGCTAAAGATACCACAGTAAACAGAGCGGGCAAAGCCCTTGCTCTCATAGAGTGCACATTTTGGTGCAAGAACAAATAAATGGACACACGTATTCCAAGTGGAGATCCATCCGGCCAGGAGGAGGACTCATGGGCAAGGGGCGTGCTATTCTGCATCAAGTGGCTGCGGAAGGCTTCTGTGACAAGGGGACACTAGAACAAAAGCCTGCAGGGGATGAGGGGTCTCCTAAATTCATGATGCAATTTGCCCGGCTCAACGGAATATATACACTTAGGAAACCTGTCTATCCACACCAGAGCCTGAAGCTCCCACCAGATGCAACTCCAGGCATCTACGTGCTGGGTTTTAGCACAGGCACCGATTCAAATGAATGCCAAACCAGAAACCAGTAACGCTGCACCCTATTACCATTGCGAATATGACAGGAGTTTCAGCTGTCCCAGCTGAAAGCAGAGAGAGGTGAGCTGGACGCCGGAGGAAGGCTAAGGTCACAACAGCCTGCACATTTGCTATTCTGGCAAGACCCGATAGGGGCAAGCTCACTGGATAAACACAGTAAGTTATCTCAACTGTGTGCCCTTGGCCCCTTATCAATCCTCCCTCCCTACAGCCTGTGGCGGTACACACAGAAACAAGCACGAAGGAATTTAAAAGCCCAGGTGTTTCCTGAGATTAAGAATTCCTCCTATCAGTGAGATCATATGATACTTGTCTTACTCTGATTGCTTATTTCGCTCAGAATAATACCCTCTAGTTCCATCCAGGTCATTGCAAAGGGCAAGATTTCATTTTTTTTTTGATGGCTGCATAATATTCCAGTGTGTGTGTGTGTGTGTGTGTGTGTGTGTCTGTGTGTGTCTGTGTGTTTGTGTGTGTACCACATCTTCTTTATCCATTCATCTGTTGATGGACATTTTGGCTCTTTCCATAGTTTGGCTATTGTGGACATTGCTGCTATAGTAAGATTGATGAATCACAGACCTGTACCTCTGAAACAAATAATACATTGTATGTTAAAAAAAGAAGAAGAAGAAGAAGAAGATAGTAGGAAGGGTAAAATGAAGGGGGGGAAATTGGAGGGGGAGATGAACCATGAGAGACTATGGACGCTGAGAAACAAACTGAGGGTTCTAGAGGGGAGGGGGGGTGGAGGGATGGGTTAGCCTAGTGATGGGTATTAAGGAGGGCACGTTCTGCATGGAACATTGGGTGTTATATGCAAACAATGAACCATGGAACACTTCATCAAAAACTAATGATGTTATGTATGGTGATTAACATAACATAATAATTTTTTTTCTTAAATGAAATTTAAAAAAATACAATAAATAAAAGCCCAGGTGTGCCTTGGTTAGCCCAAATCCACCCAGCCTGATGCTGGCCAACACGGCTGACCACCTCTATTTTTATTCGAGTGCCTTCTGGATGGAAGATTTAGCAAGACAAGTCCTTAATATTGGACGTTTCTGTAAACCATCACTACCGGATCGCTCCCCATGG